AACATATAAAGTACATCCCAAGTAAGTGATGGGAAATTTGACATATTTCTATAACTAATAATATTATTGATCCTTCGAATATTGTAGATATTACTCCCAATATTCCTAATTACTTGTCCAATTTTAAATTGACACACCTATTAAGAAAATAATTATTGACTTAGTGAGTTTACCATTTTACCTCTATTAATTATGAAGTGAATAACTTAAAAATTTAAGATTTTCAAGAAGTTTTACCTTTTTTCAAAATAATTAATTGAGGATATAATAGGTAAAAAGAATGTCTTTTCTTAATTTGTCAAAATGAACAAGTAATTAGGAACAACTAAAAAGGGAAAATGGACAATAACTAGAGACAGAGGGAGTAGTAATATGGATATAGTAAGAGATAACTTTTGTCTTTGTTGATGAGTTAGGCCAAATTTTTTTCGAGTTAATATCCCAATGGTCATTCAACTAAGAAGTTTTATCATAGAAAGTCACTTAATTTTAATTTTTACTTCAAAAGTCACTCAATTATAAGTGTTTACTTACAAAGTCACTCAATACTTTGATTTTTACTTCAAAAGTCGCTCAATAAACAATTTCTAAAAAGAAATCATTTAAAGTCATTTGTTTGATTTATTATCTGCAAACAATTTAAATAACTAAATAACGTATTTAATAATTAGGTAATTTTATTTAAATTAAAGATAATATTTTCTAGTAATCAATTTTTTAAAAGGAAAGAACTGTGAAGGTATTGTAATTTTTTTTAAAAAGGTTTAATGAATCATTTTTTTAAATAACTAAATAACGTATTGTAAACATTTTAAAAGAGGATTGAATGGATATATTTTTATTTTTTTTAGAATTCGATTTTAAATAAAAATTTCATGTAAGCAAAGTTTAATGAAAAAATAATTAAATAGGTTGACTGACTTTATAAGTAAAATATTTTTAATTGAATAACTTTTGAAGTAAAAATCAAAGTTAATTGATTTTTTTAGTTAAAAAAAACTTATAGTTGAGTGACTTTCTGTGATAATTATAGGGCATATTAACTCATCTCAACTCATTCAAGCCTAAATCATTTTTTAAAATAAACTTTTATTGAGCCCAATTTAATTTTCAATTTCAATATGTTATAAGACTCTTTATTTGCATTAATGTAATGTATGTTCTCATATTGAAAGTATAAATTACAATTTATTTCATATCTTCTAGGATTTATCTATTCATTTATAACTTATTTTTGTTATTTTCTTGAGTTGAAATTCAAATTGTGGTTATAAAAGCTAAATAACAATATATTAAAATTATTGAGATTAAGTAGGTCAAATTGGGTTGGTCATGACCCAACCCGAATTTTAGCCCATTTAAGCCCAAAGTAAACTTGGGCGGGTCATAACCCGACCCAATATCTATTTAAACCTATTTTAATATCTCTAATTTCAACTCAACCCTCCAATGTAACACCCCTAATCTATATATATATATAACTCCATTACTATTTATCTTATTCTCCTTTTTTTGGCTTTATTTTAGAATTTAAATGAATTATTTTATTATAAAATTAAATCTATTTATTTATTACAAATAACTATTTTATTTAAGGAGGAACATTTACAATAAAGACTCTTCACATGCCAATTTATAATTAGTAAATATTCATAACTCACACCTCTTTAATTTCTACTCTTAATAAAAAAAAATCTTCTTCTTTTCTTTTTTTCCCTTCTTCCAATGATAAATTATAAAATGATAATATTTTTTAATATTTTAAATATATTTCTCTTATTATTAAATTATTTACACCATTATATATTTATATAGATTTCAAAGCTAGATATAGATAAAGTAATGTGCTACCCTCTCTAACTTAGGATACCATTTATCTTTTTCCTCTTTTTTGAGTTTTTTCTTCATTATTTTTATTAATCAATTTATTTAATAATTAAATTTTCTCATATTATTGCATCTAATTATATCCCATGAGTTACACTAAAATATATACCTATTTGTATTCTCTACTTAAATAATAATAACATGTCTCATCAACTTCTTTTTCCTAATTTTTAATGCTTAACCAATCTATAAATAACAATTAAATATAGAAATGCTAGATGCTCATTTCTATTTTCTCCCATTTCTTTTTTATCTTAGTTGAAATTTTGTTGGCTTTCAATGAAATTATTGTCTTTTGATTCTTCATTTTAATTTTTGTTGGTTCTCTTTTCTATTTATTAGATATGTTAATCAACTAAATTTTGTTTGATTGATTTTCAGTAACATTTGAATGTGTAGGAAGGAAGTAATCGTGGTATTCAATTTCACCAAATCACTAAAGCATTTGAGGTAAGTTTTTATTTTATCACCAACTTATAGTGATTGAAGAAATATTTTGTGTCTTTCATTCTGTCATTTTTTATAGTGAATTAGAATGAGAAAAAAATAGAGATTTGATTAATTTTTCTAGAATTAAAATTACAATTAAATATTAAACCAATTTATTAGTTAAGAATTTTATTTATAACATAGGGATAAAAGCAAAATAATATAAGAATATATAATTAATTAGTATAGAACATATATGAATCTTCCTTCTTGATGTATGTAGCGTTCAATACAAAAAGATATTTTTCTTTTTTTAAAAATTAATTTCTATGGTGTGAATATATTTTGCTAATTCTTTTTTTATATATTTATTTGTATTGTATTATTTGTTAGTAAGAAAAAAAAAAAATGAAATACTACCTCTCTATGGCATAGAAAAATATTTTTTCCCTTAAATTTTTATACCATTTTATTTCTTAACATTTATGTGATATTATTTTTAAAAATCTAAAGTCATCATCTTTTCACATTCTTTATTCCACCTGTTATATTAACATACATACGTAGCTAACATCCCTCAACTACTATTTATTATTTCTCTCCTTATTTTTCCTTTTACAATCCTTCTTTCTACCTTCTCAACGTCATATGTATTTGTACTTTAAAAGTTCTAGCCTTTTTCAATTATTTATCTGTTGATTTATAGATTTGCCTCTTCAGTCCTATTTACTCTATGATTAATGAATTTTGATTTTTTTTTAATGTATATTTAATTCCTTTTCAGTTGAAAATACTGAAAATTATAGTTTCAATTATTATTATTTATACTTAATTTATTTTCTACTTTTCATGTTCATTGATTTCGTATTGAATGGTTATGCTTTTGAACTATATTTGAAGCCTTTTTTTTTTGCTTCAATTGCTTGAATTATGCTTAGCGAGTAAAAAATTTAAGATGTTTTCTTTCTTCTTTTTTTAGTTTCATTATTTTTATTGTGTTTTTCTTTTGTCGTGTTGGTTGATTAATATGTGTATTTGTGTATTTGAATTATTTTATTTGTGAGATTATTGTTAAGTTGAATTGACATTTGTTGTAGTAATTATCATCTATAGATCGTTTGAAGCCTATCATCTTCAAAAAGTCATCCAACCATAGCTAAACCTTACTTCAAAGACAAAGAAAAGGAAAAACTTATTAATTATGTCATTTTTATTTATGTTAATTCATCAACTTATTAGAGTGTTCCACTTCCGAAGCTCAGAGTTCAAAGTGGCAACAAAATGAATAGTAGGGAAAAGCTCAACTTTGTATGTACGGCTACATAGCAAGCACCAAAGAAAGAATTTGAACAACGTGGGGACTAATATAGGGGAATATAAGAGAAGAAGAACACTAAACCCGCTCATGCATAGCCTCAACAACTAACTGAATAAGAAGGATGACCATGTTTTTTGTGCACATAGCACCAACATTTATTTGATTCCACAAAATTGAAGAAGAATTTAATTATGTACACAGAAGATACACTTTCAGACTGCTCAATCAAGTGATATCCATCAAGTATTCAATTTTACTGACAAAGCCATCGTATGCAAACAACAAAATATATTAATAATAAAAGTTGTCTAAGTTGGGATAAAACCATACAGGTATGAATGGACAACAGTGGAGAAGAGAAACTACAAATCATATATAAGAAAAACGACTATTGAAGGAATGAAGGACAATTATTTTTATATTTGATAAATTTTAAAAAATTATTTTCTTTGTACCTAAACAATATGAAGGGAATTTTTTTTTGAACGATTCATTGCTATGAATTTAAGTCGATTTTGTTCTATTGTGGAGATATTTTATTTGTGATTAGAACTCTGGAGCAAGTGAACTACAAAGAATATGAAATATCTTAATTTCATGTATTTTTTGAAATTTTATATTCTATTCGTAATCACAGTTTTATAATAAAATTTTATGAAAATCTACATTGATCACATATATAATAAAGGTATTATTTAGTTTAAACCTACATTATTAGAAATTATTTTTAAAAAAATAAATAAATTTTACGAATACAAATTTGATCTAGCTAACACGTTCATAATTTTCATCCAACTACCCTAATTTATTATTATTATTAATATGATATTAATAGACATATTTTTATTGTTGATATTAATAATTATCATGGTTCTACATCTTTTATCTCTCAAATTAATTTTAACTAAAATATTGTAGCATAAATTCATTTAAATTTTTTCACGAAATAACCGCGCGAACGAATTCCCTAGTTATAACATAACTTAGAACGAGCATTCTCAAACCGTATCAATCATTAATGGACCAAGAACTAATTAAATGGCCATTGACCTAATTATTATTAATTAGTAATAATATACAAACTTAAAAAGAAAACCTCCAAATAAGAAAAAATATAGCTAGGTTAAATACAGAAGAAGATATGAACCACTTAGAATATTTCAAGTGTAGAAGTGACCAACTAAAGTGCCAATTAGTCTAAAAGTGTCTAAAAAAACTCGGTTTAGGTCAGTAACCATTTTTGTGTCTCACCAACCAACTTCAACAAAATTTTGACTCATTTTCTAATTGGTCATAATTTTGCACTTGCCTTCCTATATATAGTCCATTCTATTTTGTCTCTCTCATCAATTTCATTTCTTTTCTATCTTCATTGGCAAATCAAAACTAAATATTCTTGTAAAAAATGGCTTTGGCTAATGCACAAACATTTCTATTTCTTGTAGTGTTTTCTTTCATGTTTGTCCTTAGTATGGCCAACTTTAACTACACTTGGGCAGGAGGGAAGTGGAACAAAACCAATTGCCCCTATGGTAATTATCACCCAAATGCTACTCAAACCTCAAATAAATTCAACGTTGGTGGTTCTGAAAATTGGCATTATGGCTTCGACTACATGGATTGGGCTCACAAGAGTGGCCCTTTCTTTGTCAATGACACATTAGGTATGTATGTCTTCTTTAATTTTAAAAATTGAAGTTTTTTTACAAATCGACATTCTCCCTTTTATCTATCACTTATTAAGGATGATATACACACACTGACATATATGTAATAACGGATAACTTATATACATTGATTAAATGACAGTATAAAGATTTTTTATATTATTAACGTAATTTAAAATTCGGCATTATTTTTCATGTTATTAATTTCACTTTTTATCGTTATAGTATAGAAGGATTAATTATATGTGTGTATAAGTTAAATGATTCAACATTTGTACTATTGGCACCCACTTTATAATGTACTAGCTTATCGCTCATTAATTTAAATTTCTGAATTCGTTTCTCTATGTAACAAGCAGGATCCACCAAATTTGAATGGAGGATTTCCACACAGTGTATACTTATTACCAAACTACTGGAGCTTCATCAAGTGCGACTTGAGAAGAGCTAAGAGGATAGCAAATCCGATCCAGGGTGCAGGGGAAGGATTCGAGTTTGTGTTGAAGAAATCACAACCTTATTTTTTTGCTTGTGGAGAGCATGGGGGCATACATTGCAACAATGGTACCATGAAGTTTGTTGTCATGCCACTCAAACGTTGGCCTTTCTGAATTGTTAAAATTAGATTTTATGTTTTGAACAAATAATGAGTACTGTTATACTTAGTTGATTTTTGAATTAATTGTGATTAAAAAAGTTATTGAGTTTTTTATATGATTTTTGGACAATCATCGTGTAATCTGAGTCTTCAACTTTGAACTAACTTTTGAAAATCAGTTAAAGCGTTACAACTGTTGGCACATGCAATAGTAGACTGTCATATCCAATTATTGACAACCACTTGAAAGAAATTCCATTGGAATAAAGAGAGTGTGAATAAGGTTATAAACCAAAGACAAAAGGAAGAGAATTGTGCATAGGCTTGAAAAAGACATTACATTACAATAATTAAAGTAGTGCAAGAAAACAGTAGTATTAGTGCTCCGTCGAGAACGTTCAACGAACAATAGGTACAAGAGCAACCTGGTTGTTGTCATTAATAAATACGAGAACACGAGTACAGTCCACTGGATCTGGATCTGGAATATTCTGAGATATATTTAACACGACGGGGCGAACAGTTGGATTCTCTTTCTCTATTATACTCACTGCTTTCTCAACATTTTGCCCCAATAGCTCTGGCCAAGCTGTCTTACCTATACACATTTTTAATGATGCAATAACATCATCATATGAACATTTGAAACAGATTATGAGGTAATATAATGAAGTTGTTTAAGAGGAAAAAAATAACTATTCATGTAAGAAGTAAAGCTTACCTTGAACTGTACACGTAGAACTCATGATATCTACTTAATAATAGACCATGGAGATATGTGGATGTGCAATGTAATGGTTTGGAGAAGATAGATAGACATCTTCTTTGGTGTGCCTTATATTTATAGGTGCCCACGTCTTTGAATTTTTTTAATATGTATGGTATTTAGTATCTATTTGAAAATTTACTTGGACCATGAAAAGTTGAGATTTTTTTAGTGAGAAACCATTTGCCTATATTAACCTTTTGGTCTCCTTTGATCTAGTTTTTGTGGTTGAGTTAGACTTAATATCTATTTACTTACAATGTCTCCTGCGTGCTATTTTCGTTCATATTTACTTGTCCATGTTGGACTTGACACATTCTTTACAAACCGGTTAAAAAAAGAGTAATTTTATTACATCATCCTTATTAATAATAAATCATCTAAATGTTGGAGGATGATCATAATTATTTAACAAATAAAGGTAAAATAGACATAAAATAATAAATTATTTTTTAATTTTTTTAATTAAACAAGTAAAGTTGGATAATTGTTTTTAATGTATAGGAGATTAAAGATGGAGGGATGGAATTTGAAAGAACTATAATAGCTTAAAAAGAATGTGAAGACAAAATTAATTCGTACACTTGTCAATTACAAATTAGATCCTCCTTTCTAATCCGTCCATTTTACTTTTGTTCTTTTCTCATTTCTTCCTTTACTTTTTTTTTTAAAAAAATCTCGATTTTTACTAATTCTCTTTGTAACATAATAAGTGGTTCCTAAATCAAAGAGCAAGTCCTTTGAAAATTTTGATAAAAAAAAAGTCCTTTGAAATTAAATCAAGACATTTATTCCTATCATCTCAATGAATTAAATCATTCCAAGAGTTGTAATATAACTAGGTAACTCAGCCGCGCTACGCGCGGTCGTAAAATATTATATCAAAAATATAAATTAACTTTTTCATATTATTTGAATATAAAAGAGTTTTTAGTGCAAGTTCAATTAAATAGATAAAAATTTAAATTTGAATTCATTTTATTATTCACATTGAACTAATTTCTAACAAATAAAATATACTATTACATGAAGGAAGAAAAGGTATGTGAAGATAATTGTATTTATATGTCGGAAATTATGACGTATACAGATTTAAAAAGTAGAGTTTAGAACATAAAATAAAAAACAAAATCGATCATTTTGTGTAATATTTAAAGAGACTAAATCAACCGGTAATTGTATGATAATTGAAATAGATTGAAATAGAGTTTAGAACACAACTTATTACTTATTTTAACTTTTTCAATACTTTTTTCACTTTCTTACATTACATACCTCCCTTTATTTCAAAATAAAGTTTTTATTTTTATTTTTTATTTTGTTTCCAATCGTGTTTTACATAATTATGAAGACTTC